AGATAGATAGATAGATAGATAGATAGATAGATAGATAGATAGATAGATAGATAGATAGATAGATAGATAGATAGATAGATAGATAGAGATAACTTAACAAAAATGTTAAATCAAACACAAGTTCAAAATGTTTCTTAAATACATTTTGTAATTTACATTAAATTAAAAAAACATTTTCAAGCCATTGACTGTTGTTTTAAGTTATTAATTGAATTGATATTTTATTGAGTAGAAATAATTTGAAGAGTTTGGAGGTGGTGACATCTAGCGGTCAAAGTGAGGAACTTTAATTTAAAGTTGATTATTTTTCATTCATTCAACCTTTATTTCTACAGGTAAATCCCATTGAGCCTCGAGGACTCATTTACAAGAGAGACCTGATTTCAACAAAGAATGATGACAACAATGGACAACAATAGACAACAATAAACAGTTACAAAAAGTCATACTACAGTTTTTTTATATATATTTTTTTTATAACAAATAGGATGGCTAAAAGAAAAAGGTAACAAAAAAAAACAGCTAGATTCTAAGGCGAATGTAGAAAACTAAAAACAGGAACATGTCTGCATGCCTGCCAGGAGTCCAACAGATTCTTAAAGACACTTAGAGAGGTCAAGGTCGAGAGCTTCAGATATTTTTGTAAGATATTCCAGGAAACAGGAGCGGAGTAGGAGAAGAACCTTTTGCCGAGTTCAGTCCTCACTGAGGGAACACTGCAGGTAATGATGTCCTGAGAGCGCACGCTGTAGCTGCACTCACGCAGAGACATGTAGGAGGAGATGTATGAAGGCAGCAGACCAAGAAGTGATTTAAAGATGAAAATGTACCAGTGAGAGAGTCTGCGTGAAGTTAATGATGTCCAGTTACCCAGTGAATACTGGGTGCAGTGGTGGGTACGATAATCACAGCCAGTTATGAATCTTAGTGCACCATGATAGACAGCATCCAACATCTGCAGGGTTCTTGTAGGAGCGTTCATGTAAATAATATCACGATAATCTATTAATCGTATTTTTATTTTACAAAAAAGAGTTATAAGAGTTATCACAAAAAAAGCATTATCGCCATCCTTCAAGTATTTTGTTTTATCAACTGAAATTTCTTAAGTTTTATGATTTGGTGGATTACAATATTCTATTATTTACGTACAAGGCTCAGAACCAAAATTTACCATCAAACATACAAGTGTATTTCATTAAAAGGAATAGTTGTTATAATTTAAAGGGAACAGATATTTTTGTAAAGATGAAATATAGAACAAGTTTTAAGGGTAGGTCTACTTCGATCAAGGGAATTACTTTATGGAATGGTTTGGATAATGATATCAAAAAGGAGAATTCATTAGTTGCATTTAAAAAAAAGATTAAGAATGTATTGATGATGAAATATATTTAAGTTGGATGATGGTATGGAATTATAATGAATTGTGATAAGTTTTATGGTTGGTTGTATTATGTATTGTTTGAATAGATTGTTTTGAATTGATATTGTTTAGAAGGGGCAGAAATGATAAGAATTCGTTCTTCTTCTGCTGCCTTTCATTTTATATGTATCTTATTTTATTTGTATGGAATAAGTCTTGTTTTAACTGAAATGAAATGAATGAATGAATAAATAAATAAATAAATAAATAATCAATGGAGGGAAGGAAAGTCACAGATACAAGGCGTTTTCTAGCATTCAGGGTTAGACAGGATCTGCTTCTGAAAAAGAAACCCAGTTTAACTTTCAGTTTCTTTACCAAGTTTTCCACATGGAGCTTAAAAGAGAGATGTGAGTTGACCAAGATACCCAAATATTTATAGGAATCAACAAACTCAATGGGGACACCATTTGAGGATAAAATCGGAGGAAGAACTGCTGGGACCAACTTCCTATTTGAAACAAGCATCCCTTTGGTTTTGTCGGCATTTAGGACAAGTTTGAGGTGGAACAAATCTGTCTGGATGATGTTGAATGCAGACTTCAAAAGCTGGAAAGCCTAAGCAACAGTTTTAGCTCGACAATAAACAACTGTGTCATCAGCATAGAAATGTATGGATGCGTTAGTGATGTTTTTACCTACATTATGTATGTAGATTGTAAAGAGAGTGGGTCCTAAGACTGAGCCTTGTGGTACACCATTGCTGACTGTTAAATAACTGGAGGAAGTACCATTATGTTGAACACATTGCTTCAGTGATGGCCAATAAATAAATGAACATCTTCTTTGTGAAAATAAAGAGACAGGCTATCTAGGTTAAATAAACTCCTGAAGTAAAATCACTTTAGTCAAATCTGATAAGCGCGTCGTTTGAGAGACATTTTCTGAGATTGCTCATTAAATTTTTTACTGAATTTAAATAGTCATAAATAAAACTACAAAATAAACTCAAACACATCCTCATTCTTGGCTTCTCTTCAAGTTTGAATGTTCTCCAGAACCAACCAGTTTCTGGATGCTGAAAATCCAGATCTAATTTAAAAATGCTCCAAACCTGTGGACTCTCTGTGTCCGACCCACCAAGAAAATAAATCATAACAGTTTGTGTTTTGGTCAAAGAAGGAGCCAGAGGGACCAAAGAGCCGCATGTGGTCCCAGAGCCACAAGTTGCAAACCACTAACTCGCTGTCGAGTTCAGGGGTCTTCAACCCGCGGCTCTCCGGCCACATGTGGCTCTCTGGTCCCTCGGCAGCGGCCCCTTTTGCTTTGATTAAAACATACATGGAACTGTTATTAAATTTATTGAACAATCAAAAGCACTAAATTTAGTAGATTTATCGAAACGTTTCACTTTATGTAAGACATTAATTATGACGTCACTGACCCAACATCCAGACAAACAGTTTCTCTGAAATCTGACAGAATAAGCAACTTTAAAAAAAAAAAAATATATATATATATATATATATGAGTTCATAACATGAATCGTCTTACAAAAATAAAGGCAAATCACTCAGAAAACAAAATAAATTAGAAATAAAAACTCTTATTAGAAGCTTAATAAAGAGATTTGCCTTATTCAGTCAATAAATTATGAATAAGCTACCAACAACATATTTATTTATCCATCCATCCATTATCTTTATCTGCTTCTTCCATTTTGGGTCATGGGGGTCGCCGGTGCCCAGTCCCTCGCTACTTCGCAGTTCGTTTATCGCGGGTTCACTCTATCACAGTTTTTCAAAGTAAAATTGGACATATATATGTATATATACACATATATATACATATATATATACACACATATATATATATATATATATATATATATATATATATATATATAAATCCTGCTAATGAACTTTAGTTCACCATTAAATCTCTGATGAACCAGATTCTACAAAAACATCTATATTTAAAATTGTACACGTTTTCTTGATCATTTGATGTATTTGCACTCATTGTGTCGACTTTTATTGTTCAATTTAGAAATGTGGTTTTGTTTCTTGTTCACATATATATATTTTATCTTTAGCTTTGCTTTAAAGTTTTACCTTCAACATTGCACGTACTGTATCTTCTGGCTGACTTTCGTCGGTGGAATCCATTCTGTGCGTGTTAGCGGTGCTAGCTCAGTGACATATATATACTAGAATACAGCTCTTCTTGAAGGTGGCTCTAACGTTACCTGCCCACTTTGCAGTGATTCAATGGACCAACTCCCCTCTCACCGTTGGTTACTTTCAAATTAACGAACAAATAAAATGTTGCAATGCGAATGTAACTTGTAACACAACGCATTATAGAAATGTAGTGTAGTAGAAAGTACAGATACTTAATGTAAAATGTAGTGGAGTAAAAGTAAAAAGTACTCATTAAGTAAAGTACAGATACATGAAAAGTGTACTTAAGTACTGTAACGAAGTACTTGGTTACATCCCACCACTGGTTTGAGCCGGGGACCTGCTCGCTGAGGGGCAGCAGCTCTACGAGTTGCACCGCTGCCCCTATTTATGTATTTTTTTATAATATTATCTTGTGTTTTTTTTATCCATATTAACAGTAACTATGTAGGTTTATTTACTTAACAAATAGTTCAGGTTTATCAAAAGTCTGGTCTTTTCTTTGTCCTAATGCAGAAAAACATAAATCAACTTCAACTGATGTTTAACTTCATGATGTCTCAAAATAAATTCATTTTTATTTAACTCTCAGTGAATTGTGTCGAGAACATAACGGGTTGAGTTCATTAAATTATTTATTTATTTATTTTTCTAATAATAATTCTTGGTCAGACAAAAGACTGTGATGGGCCACCAGAACCAGAACTTCAGGATATTTATTTAGTTGTTGTTCTCCTCAGACATGAGCCGACTGTAGCTTCTTAATTTATGGATGAACCTGATAGAAAATATCTTAAATTAAACGGTTCAAAAATAACATTTGTACATTAGTTAAGTTTTACTAACACTTTAAAGCTCAGGAGCCTGTTGGTCAAATTTATAATGATGGTAATAGGCCCCCCTGGCCCCTCCTTGATGGCGCCCCTGCAAACCATCCCAACATTTCGTGAGTTTTCAAGACGTCAGCAGTTTAATGACAGCAGGTCAGAAGTATTTGATAAATATTATATTTAATATTTTATAAAAGAATCTGAGCTCATGTTGTGGGGAGTTCTCAGTTGCTCAGAGGAAGAGAAAGTCCACTTCCGCATCATGGGAGCCCCCACCCATCGGATGGATCCAGCATCCTCGCGGACCGAACCTCCGGGACCAGTGACATCCGGCCGAACCGAGCCGAAGCCCCGCCACCATGGACACGGACGTGGCGGTGTCTCTGTCGGTGCTCGCGGGGCTCGTGGTGCTGAGCGAGGTGACCCGCAGAGTCCTGGTCCGGGTCCTGGCGGGCTCTGAGCTCTACAAGGACGCGGCAGAGCTCGTGTCCACCTTCCAGCTGTGCTGCTGCACGCACGAGCTGAAGCTGCTGTCCGAGGTGGGCGGGGTCCACCCTCACCTCGCGCTCACCTTCACCTACCTGGCGTCGGTGGTCCACGGGCTCACCTTCAGGGGGGCCATCGGGAACCCCTGCGGCGCGCTGCAGCGAGCGTACCACGCCACGCTGCCCGGCGGCCGCGCGCTGCGGCGGATCGTGTGCCAGTTTGCGGCAGCCACCGCTGCACGCGCCGCAGCAACGCAGGTGTGGGGGATCGGACTGTCGGAGCTGCACGCGAGGCACAAGCGGCAGGGTTTCCGGTGCGTCAGCCCTGTTCGCGGCTCTCTGTGCGAGGCTGCTGCCGTGGAGCTCGCGTGCGCCTTCGCGGTTCAGACGGTGATCGCGCACACGCAATCTGTGGAGGAGAAATACCGGGTGCACGCGGTGGCTGCTGTCAATACAGCAGTGACTTATGCAGGTATGACGTCACGCTCCAAACATAACGTGACCAAGGCCAATCAGTCATACTGTATATAATATCTCTCTCTCTCTCTCTCTCTCTATAT